TTGAGAAACATTCTAGGAATAGTGGTGGTGGGTTCACAGTATATTGAATATTTACCTAATGCCACTGAATTAGATGATTTAAAATGACTAAAAGGTAAATTTTCACTGCGTGTACATTTTAAACCATAAAATCTAATAAGCTGCAAAGAAGAAGATTTAAAAACCAAGTTGTCATCATGAGGGAGGAAAGGACAGCTCCTGCGCATGCGCTGGCCTGCTCAAGAGCAGATGCCGGGAGAAGGGGGCTCCACACGGCAAGGGACACTGCAGCTGATTCTGAGACGCACCTGGTGGTGGCTCTGGAACTAGCCCAGGACCCGGCTCCAGTGCTGGCACTGGCTCTGTCGCTGGTGGTCTTGGGGAGGCTGCTTCTAGAACAGCCCTGGTTCCGTGACTGACCCTGGATTCTGGCAGTGGTACCAGAACTGGGGAGAGAACTGGTGATGGGCATGCTTCAGGTCTGGATCTAGGACCAGAGGTGGCTCTAACTCTCGGCTGATGCTGGGAGCAGATGCTAGCAGAGCTTCCTCTCCCTCCAGAGCAGGGCAAGAGCTTGTGCTAGAGGTGCAGCTCTGCAGCTGCCCCCCATCCTGACTGTGGGGCAGATGTCATCCCACCTGCTGAGCTGTGAGCTCTGAAAGTCAGGGAGTTCCTGCCTGCACATGAAGGGGGAGTACACGGGTGCTGAATACATGAAGGAAGAATGAATGGATAGATGGATGGATGGTTGGAAGGATGGATGGATGGATGGATGGATGGATGGATGGATGTAAGGAAGGATGGATGGATGGAAGGAAGGAAGGAAGGATAGATGGTTGTATGGATGGATGGATGTTTGGAAGGATGGATGGATGGATGGAAGGAAGGAAGGAAGGAAGGAAGGATAGATGGTTGGATGGATGGATGGATGGATGGTTGGAAGGATGGATGGATGGATGGATGGATGGATGGATGGATGGATGGATGAATCCATCAGCTCACCCAAGACTACTTTGTATCTCTGGTTTTTCCCATCTGTAACATAACAGCAGCCACTTCCTAGGACTGTTGGTAGGATGACCCTGATTCAGTACACATGTAAGTGCCTACTGTGTGCAAGACACCATTCTGGAGACTTGGGGCCAAAGTGCTTGCATGGAGCTGATTGGAGCGGGGCTGAAATGAGGGCAGTCAGGTCATAGACACGCTGTCCAATCTCATCTGGGACCCATTGCCAGGTTTAGCAGGCTGTCCCCGTGTCCTGGTCCAGCAGCTCAAGACAAATCTGGGTGGGGCTGGAGGGATTATGGGGCTTGCCATCTTCACAAATCATCAGAAAGAAGCTTCACTTTTCACTTTTTCTTCCTCATCTGATCCCCCCTCCCCACACTGCGTTTCATCTCATGGATGGTCGTCATTCATTTGACCAGACACTGATGAAGGCAGCTGGGTGGTTTCTGGTCTTTTGCTCATGTGAAGAACATTGCAGGGCATAACCGTTGAGGAAGGTCAGGTGTAGAAGCGTTTCCATGGGACAGATTGCCTGAGCTGGGGCCGTTCAATCAAAACGTGACTACAATTGTAAGTTTGATACATGCGGCCAGACCGCTGCCCTGGGAGAGCAGCTAGGGTTCCCATCAACGATGAAGAAAGTTCCTCTTTCTATACAGCTTCCGAGGATCCTTGTGATCTTTTGGATTTAGTCATTTCGTCATGACTGAGTATACATCATGTGTGTAAGTCTGTTTATATTTCTTTTTTGTGAAGTGTATTTTAATATCTTTGCCTGTTTTATATTGTGTGGCTGCTCTTCTTGCTTTTTAAAATTTTATTTATTGATTTGAAAGAGAGAGACAGAGACAGAGATAGTGACAGAGAGCACAATAGCAGTCCTTTGGAAAACGGGTAGTTCTCCAAAAAGGAAAACATAGTTACCACGAATCCACAAAACCATGCTTTTGGTTCTCTTGGGTACATACCTTGGAGTGCAGTTGCTGGATTTGTGATAACTCTATGTTTTCCTTTTTGGAGAACTACCTGTTTTCCAAAGGACTGCTATTTTATATTTCAATCAGCAATTTCTCTGTATCCTCACCAGAACTTCAATACCTGTCTTTTTAATAATAGATGTCCTTTTGCATGTGAAGAGGTATCTCATTGTGGTTTTTATTTGCATTTCCCTAAAAAATAATTATGTTTATAATATGTATAATATTTATATGGCCATTTTTTTTAAGGATTTATTTGAGAGCGAGTGCGGGGGGTGGGGGGTGGCAGAGGGAGAGAGAAAATTTCAAGCAGACTCCTGCTGAGCTCGGAGCCTGACATGGGGCTCGACCTCCCGACTCCACGATCAGACCTGAGCTGAAACCAAGAGTCAGAAGTTTTAACCAGCGTCACCACCCAGCCACCCCTGTGTATTTTCTTTGGGGAATTTGTCATATACAGATCCTTCCCCCACTTGCTAAGTGGAATGTTTATATTATTATATTATAGAGGTGTAAGAGTGTTTAATCTACAAATGTCCTTTATTAGAAATATTATTTGCAAGTATTTTATACCATTTAGTAGGTTGTCTTTCTCTTTTTTGATACTATGTTTTGATCAAAATGTTAAATTTTATGAAGCCAGTTTATATATTTTTTTATACTTGTGCTTTTGATGTCCCCTCTTGAGGACTGATGTTCTCTGCTCAGCAGACTCCCAAGTCTGGGCAGACACATTGCTGACCCTTGCCTCACCCAACAGCCTCAGACCAAGCAGACTCCACCTGACCCTGCCTTGAGGGAAAGGAGGGCTCCCTCCTTCCTTTCCATTGACCAGAGGCCCAAGTAGAAGCTAAGCGTATTGGGTACGTGGGTTGGGGCCGCTCCCGGTGGAAACGTAGATGGGTTTTGAGCACTTTTTCCCACTCTAAAGCCCCCAGCCTGATACTCTGCCCTTCCAGCAGCTTTGCTGAGCCCCCTCTGTATACCTTGCAAAAGCCTCCTGTGTTCACACGAGCTCAAGTGGTCCTGCTGCTGCACCTGGGAACTTTCCCTGGATGGAGCATGTCCATGGTCATCCTAGATGTGCTGTGTTCACTGAGAGGGAGGGGGTCTGTGCCTGGAGGGAGCAGGAGGGGCCGGGCTACGGCCCTCCAGGGAATAGCCTGTAATGGGAATAGGACACTGTAATGAGTCTGCTTCTAAACAGATCTTTGAAAAACTATGCAAGAACTTCTTTTGGATAAATTCCTAGGATCAGTACTGCTAGGCTAAGGTAGGCACTGATGGGAATTTGACAGGTTAACCCTTTCTCTGGCACTGGTTTCTGAGGAATGCTTTACTGCTTTCTAGTTTCAGCCTACCTTTCCACTAGTGACATTTTCCGAATATGTGGCTGGCCACAGACGAGCCGGCTGTTCCCTTATGGCTCCTGGCTCTCGTAGGACACTGAGGAGTGATGGGATAGCACTTCCAAGATGATTGACAGATGATTTACAAAAGGTTGTGACTTCTGTCCTGCTTGCTCTCTCCTGTGTTCCTTCCTTCCCTCTGTCCCTCCGTGTGTGTCTCTCTGATTCCCATTGCTAAGAACCAAATGGGGGCTGAGATCAGATCAGCTGACTTAAAAGACCTGAAATCTTGGTCCAAACTGAATCTCCCCAATAACTTGCTTATGAGCTCAGAGGTGGATCCTGCCCCAACAGAGTCCCAGCCTCCTGAGAGCTTCCCCCCAGCACACTCGTCCCAGACTTGTGCAGGGCTGGCTCCTCTTGTCTTTCTGGTCACAGCGTAAATGCCACTCTTGTGGCCTTTTAGGCCTACCAAGGGCCTCCTGGCTGGACCTCCAGCGCCCTGCTTCATCTCCCTATAGTATTTGCTCCTTTTCTTGTCTTTGTCCATCTCCCACTGTGGACAGTGAGCTCCTGGTGGGCAGGGGCCATGTGGGTCCTTTCAGCAGTCACCCGGATGACTGCAGGGGCACAGTGGCCAAATGAGTCAATGAGAGGGTCTTAGAGCGCCCTCCCGCTTCTGAGAAGTTCATTAGTGAAAGGTCATTGTTGGGTCAGAATGACCCCTGGGTGTCCCCTCCCTGCTCCTGTTGCTCCGTTGGCCAGTGAGCTGGTGGGGGCCAGCACTGCAGCCCCATGCAGGAAGCCAGAAATTAAAACAGGCCTTTGGGGGTCATCAAGGCAGGGGGTTCCCAGGCCCGAACAAAGGGGCAGGACGTGGGGGCTCCAAGGGGGGATGAGAAGGACCTCGGATCCTCCATGTCCCCCAGTTTCCGACCAGTATCCTGGGGTTTCTAGTTCACTCACGAAGTTTCCTCACCCCAGCCAGGCAATGATTCCGCCCACTTGCCCCTGAGGCTCCGTCCTTGGACCCCGGAGGAGCAAGCAGTCCAGTGCTCTGCCGCATTCTGCACTACCCAGGTCCTCCGTTCCGAGGCTGCTGTCCTCTCCCAGGGACCCCAGGCAGTAGAAAGCATTTACTGGACTTAGCCAGGTGTGTCATCCATGGGGAACCGAGGCCGACAGACTTCTAGGAGCCTGTGGGACCCCCCGGGCCCCAGCTAGAAGCACATCAAGTTGCTGAGGGGGAAGACCTTCCCTCTCTATTACGAAGCCCCCTCGCCATGGGGGTGGGTACTAGGGGCGTACCCCGGTTCCAGGCGCCCAGAGCGCGGACACAGAGCCCCAGACCTGTCCTCTCCCGCCTGACCCTGGGATGGCCCAGCCCTGCCGACCCCGGGAACCTCGGAACACTAGCGCGCCAGCCGGGCTTCTTGCCCCTCCGGAAGCTGCGCGCCCAGGGCCCTCCGCCGTGAGATCGCGGAGTCGTGCGCTTGCGCACAGCCACACCCTGACGCCGGACTTTTGGGAGCCTGGGGATGTGGGCGTGTCCCCTGGCCCAAGGGGCGCCGCCAGCCAATCAGAGCCGCCGGCCCCGCCCGCCGCGCGCGCTGGGGCCACTCGGAGCTGCAAGCGCGGCGATGCGCGCGGATAGTGTTCCAGCGGCCGCGGCGTTGTGGGGGGCATGGAGCGGATTCCGGCGCTGGGCTTGGGCACCTGGCAGGTGAGGGGGGCCTTGTGCCCCGGGGCGGGCGGGGCCTCGCCCCAGCCGCGGAGGGGACTCGCGGGACTACCTGCCGCCCGCCCTGCCCCCTCCCGAGCTCTCGCCAGCAGATGTCGGCGAAGGACGGCACAGGCGGTGGTCAGGCCGGGGTCAGGGTGGGGGGATGGCGGCCACTGGCCCGCGGGCGCCGTGGGGGCAGGTGACCTGCATCCCGAAGGCTAGTGCGGTCTGGGACCCGCGGCGAGGCACCGTGAGCCGTCCTGTGCGCGGACTGGGTCCCCGCGGGCCGGGACGCGGGAGCCGCAGGGGAGCGGGGGGCGGACCTGGGTGAGCCCCGGCGACTCCGCGCGTCCGAGGGCTGCTGAGGCGGTTTCCCGCACGTCCTTTCCGGCTCTGCTGGGGCCCGGCTGTAACCTGACCCCTGACGGCCCCGGGGTCCAGCCCTGCGCCCACATCCCTGCCGTCCGTCCCCGCGCCGCCCCTGCGCCGGGCCCGCATGGGCGTCCGGTCGCGCACGGCGCGGGAGAACCTGCGGCAAGTGCTTCCCGGGCCGAAGCGGCCGTCGGGGCTCGGGTGCGCAGCCTTGGACCCGTTTTCCCGCGGGTTTGTTTGCGCGGTAGGCGGAGCGGGAGGGGGAGGAGCGCGAGCAGACGGAGAGGGAGAGGGTGGAGGGTGGGACTTGATCTCCGGTCGGAGGTTCGAGCCCCGCGTTGGGTGCGGAGCCTAGGTCAAACAAACAAACAAACAAACAAAATCACTTTCAACACATGTCCAGGCACGTCGCTAAATCGTCCTCTTGTTCTCTTCATTTGCCTGTAGATTCGTTTGGGTTCTGTACATACATGTTCATACCATCTGCAAATAGTGCTTCTTTCGTTTCCTTTTTTCTGATCCTTAAATCTCAAATTCCTTTTTCCGTTTTGTTCCTGATCTTAAAGGTTGTGTTTCTGATACGTACACGTTTGAGGATGATGTTTGCCTGTAGATTTTTGGGGTGGTTTTGTTCTTGATTTTTCTGTTATTGTTGTTGTTTTAAATGTGGGTGTTCTTTACCAAGTTAAAGAGTTTCCTTTTCCCCTAGTTTACTGAGACTTTAAATCAGGAGTGGATGTTCAATCTTAAACAACATTGATTGACATGATTTATTTTTTTAACCTGTTGATGTGAATTATCATGGATTTCCTAATACCAAGCCATCCTTGGCTTTCTCAGATAAACTCAGTGTGCATGTGGTATGTTCTTTCTCCAGAATATATTGTTGCATCCAATCTGCTGTTATTTTACTTAGGATTTTTGCAGCAGTTATTCATGAATGAGACGAGTGTGTGACTGTTTTTTAATATTTTTGTCTGCTTTTGATTCCAGGGATATGCTGGTTTAGTAGGATGAACTGAGAGTATTCTTTATTTTTCCCTTCTGTGTAAGATTCTGTGTTAAATTGGGACGATTTCATCCTTGAAACTTTTGTAGAACTGTTTTGTGTCTGTTTAACTAATTGCTTCATTTAAAAAATAATTTTAGGACAAGTCAGCTTTTACTTCTTCTCAGGTAAGTTTTTCTAAGGATTTTTCCCATTCTTTTCATCTTTCCAAATTGTCGGCTTACAGTTATTGATAATATTTTCCGAGATTTGGGGTCTATGTTTAATCCGTATGACTGTTTTTCATTCAGATCATGTTAAAAAAAAAAAAAACAAAACAAAACAAAACTTGGTCCCATCAGTCTCATGAGAAGCTTTTCCACCTTATTAAGATTTTTCAAAGAACTAGCCTCTGGCTTTGTTGAACTCTGTCCTGTCTTTATTGGATGTTCACTCTTGTTTTCACATTTTCTCTTCCCTTCTAATTTCTTGGCGGTTCGTTTCCTGACTTGAGATGGATGCTTCATTGGCTTTTGGCCCCTCAAAGTGTGCTGCTCGTCAAGCAAGGACTGTCGCAACAAAGCACAGGGGGTTCTGCGAAGGTCAAGTGAGCAGGTGCTTTGTGAACCACGAAGCCCTTTGGGAAGGCTCAGTGCAATGTGTTATGAGCCCTCCCGGGCTTCGTCCCTGTTCCTGACGCTTCGCTTGCTTGAGCAGCCCCGTTCACAGTGACTGTTTTCTGAGCTTCCACATTCTTGATGGAATCCGCACTGTTCCTGTGGGTTTGGGGAGATGGTTCACCAGTGGTGGAGTCTCTTCCTGTGAGTTCGCACCTGTTCACCTTTGCCCTTGGACTTCTGGTCTTGTCGGGTAGAGAGTGAGTCTACACCTGCTTCTCTCTCGGTTGCTATCAGGATTCCTTCTCCATTTCTTTATTACTCTGTTCGTTCAGGAAGTTCAGCGTCTGGCCCCGTTATTTGCAGGCACTAAAAGTACCCATAGACTCTTCCCCAAATAAGTCAAGGAGTTGCAACTCAGATTGTGTCTAAATCCTTTCTGACTCTGACACCATCCCTCATTTTGGTGCTCACTGACACTGTGACCTCCTTCCTCACTTATGCCCTGTTTGAGTCTTCATTTTAGAGTGAAACGCTGGGATGTCCTGAGCACGGGTGGATTGCTTCTGTCATGTTCACTCTGCAGGCGGCTCCAGGGGAAGTGACAGAGGCAGTGAAATTGGCCATCGACGCCGGATATCGGCACTTCGACTGCGCCTACTTATACCACAGCGAGAGTGAGATTGGAGCCGGGATCCAGTGCAAGATCAAGGAGGGCGTGGTGAAGCGGGAGGACCTGTTTATCGTCAGTAAGGTAGGACTTCACACGCGGGGCGAGCAGGGCTCCCTTAGCAAGACAGCTGACCCAGTGTGGGGAGGGTTTTTGGTCTCCTGGCAGCTCAGTTCGTCCTGGAACCAGAGCTGCCTAGACATCCTCCGCTTCATACACATGCTGGGAGTGGTGCAGGTGAAGGTGTCTGGGGCAGGGTGACAAGCAGAGGGGACAGGTTGCGCAGAGGCACAGGCGTGGGACAGCACCTTGGGTACACGGACCTAGAAGAAGCTTGGAGTTCCTGGATCGGAGAATGGTAGGCAGAGGAGTGCTGAGAAACAGGGCTGGAGCAGGGGACAGGCCAGATCACAGAGGCCTGGCTGCCTTTTAAGGGCCTTATTCTTTTTCCCGTACACAAAGGAGCACCGCTAAAGGATTTTAAATAGGGAGCTTATCTTCTGCAGCGGAGAGACTCTTGTCCTACCTGGGCAGTTGCAGCTACTGAAAGGAGCGTGCGTTTGAGCAGAAGGCAGAAGACGGGACATTGAGGACAGGGTGGGTGGGAGAGGAGGGCGGGCCAGACTTGGACAGGGAGAGACGGTGGAGGAGGGAAACAGGTGTGCGGGCCTGGTTAAGGGAGGACCCATTCAGCAGAGTTCAAGAACCCCTTTGCTTTTGACTTTGAGGCAGAATGTTAAGAATGTGAGGTCAGTAGCCACAGGCCCTCATTCCAGCGGTCTCTACGAGCACCAGAGACTGGGTCAGTCAACCGATGGCACAGGATCACAGTGTCATTGTGTGTAAAGCAGGACTCAGAATTGATCATCGCCTGAGTAGTTTCCAGGTCCGATGTCCATAATTGCACAAGTCACCTCTGTTTCTGTGGCAGATTTGCTCTTCTGTTTCACTCTCCAATGATCTCTGTAATTCATTGGTGCTTCTAAAGCTGGAGCAAAGGGAGGGTGAGGGATGGGCCGGGCTGCACCTGGCAGAGGGGCAGAAGACTCCCCTGCCATTCCAGGAAGGGAGGGTGCCTGGTCTGCCCAGGCCAGCCCCGAAGTCAGGGGACATTCGCTCCCGAGTGCATCACAGCTGCAGGACAGGTGTGCTCGTTACTCTTGACACTGGGAAAGTCATAGAAATATATATATATATGTTAAAACATCACTATATACTCACCATCTAGAGAGTCCTGTTGCTGACAGCGTATTTTTAGGGTGTTTTGTTTTTCTTCTTTTCCGTCAGTGCGCTGTGTCGACGGTATGTTTTCTGTTTCTGTTCTCACTCTTGTACTAGTTCTTGTGTTTCCTCTTGCTGCGTCAGAGCCTTCCAGTGGCTCCCGTCACAGTTAATACTGAACAGCGTGACGGGAATCTCAAGAGGAGGCACCAGTCAAGGATTTCGTGCTTACGGGTGGGGGTGAGGTGGGGGGAGGGGCGTGTCCGGGTCCCCACAGGCCGGTGGCGTTCACTCACCACCAGCTTTACTGCAGGAGTATGATGCCTTCATCCCCGGGGACCTTCAACATGGCACAGACTGACGTGGGAAACGCAATGCAGGCTTTCTTCTGAGTTTTCCTCCTCTCCTTTCTGTCCACACGCATTGAGCTTGGTTTGCTTTGGCTTGGGTTTTCTTTTGGTCCCAGTGGGTCCAGATAACTGGCAGCCCCCCACCATATAGTTCACGGGGCCACCAATGTCCTTTTAGTAGGACTCGGGCCGCAGAGCCCAGTTTTGGGGATCCCTCCCCAAGGGAGCCCTGGAACCATCGGAGGCTAATGTCACGGCCATGTTGTATTTATAGCCGTAGGGCCTTGGATGTTGTCTGTCCCGCTGGGACTAGATTGCGGGGCCACGGGGCAGACGTCGTGTTAACCCTGGCTTCCCTCCCCCCTCGGCGGCTGGGGCGCGCCAGCCGTGGGAAGTCCCTGTGAAAGCAGCGCACCCCGAGTCTAAGGGCCTTGAAGCTGGAGTGCCTGGACCTCTACCTCATACACTGGCCCATGGGTTTCCAGGCATGAAAGGCACTAGCAGCGCCTTCCTTCCTGCTCATGCCCGCCGAGGGGTGCAGGGAGCCAGGGCCCCAGCTCAGCCGAGGCCTGGGCTCGAGGCCCCTGCGGGCCACCGTCAGCTCCCTCCTCTGCCTCACAGCCCGGGGTGGAAGACATGCCCTTGGACCCCAGCGGCATGGTGATACCCAGTGACACCGACTTCCTGGACACGTGGGAGGTGAGCCACGGGCTGGTGGGCCTCCGGGCAGGGTGCTGGGCCCTCGTGAGCTGCTGTGTTCACCAGGAACACACACGGGGATAACCAGGGCAGACCTCCCTGTGAGTCTCAGTGTCTACGTGGTTGTTTATTAGAAACAGCAGGTGGTCATCACGGAAATACAGAAGAGGATAAAAAGAAAAGGTAGAATCTGTGTCTCCCTCCTGCAGTGGTGACCACCACTGCTGTCCTGTAGGTGCCAACGGCTTGTCCATGAGCTTGGTCAGAGCTATGCCTGGTGGCACGGCGAGGTTTGGGAGGCGCTGGGAGGAGCTGGAGGGTGGGGCACGAGCTCAGCCCACGGCTGGAGTCCAGACAGGAAGGGAGGTAGAGGCCTTGAGCAAAGCCTCAAGCATGGGAGTCGAGGGGAGGGTGCCAGTGTGGAAGGGGGGCAGGGTTTCCGCTGCCCCCCTCTGTGCACACCCACGTGGGGTAGAGGAGGGCAGGGGTGAGGCATGGGAAGCAGGTGAGGTCACACTGAGCTCAGGGACAGGCATGGGAGCCTACAAGTACCAGGCAGAACGAGGGGGACGAGCACCAGCCAGGCCACACCCTCCCCTTCCTCTTAAATGGGGGTTGGCTTAACAGATGAGCCAAGGGCCCCGGCCTGGGAGAGCCAGGGTCCGGGGGCCCCAGCCCTTTCTGCCCCGCGGCACTGCTTCTCCAGAAAGCGTGGGTTAAACTCTGGGCTGTCTGGGCGGCACCAGCGGGTTCTGGATGGTGCCGCAGGGGCCATAGCTGTTGTGCTTGCCCCTGGCCGCATCGTACTCCTGCTGACGGTGTGGCTGCCCCGGGCCACCCTCCTCCTGGAGCTGCCGGCCCCTCCCTGCGCTCAGGAAGCATCTAATCACAGTAGAAGGGGTGAGTGGACAGCAACGGACATCCCTGCCCCAGACCTTACCGACAGGAATCGAGCGTGGGAGGAGCAGTAATGGCCATCATGTGGCGCGGCTTAACCACTTTCCAGCCCCGAGCTAAATGCTTGCACGTGCTGTTTGATGGAATCTTTAAAACAATCCTGTGGCATGGACAAGCTTGTCCCCATTTTTCAGTGACAACATTGAGTTTAGTGCAGTCCTATAAATGTGCCCAAGCTCCCCCAGCCGGGGGCACGGGAGCGGCATGGGCCCTGCGGGCAGAAGGCCTGTGGGGCATCGGGCGGACTCACGCAGCCTGCAGAGGAGTGAGGCCGTGGGTTCTCGGGCGCGGAACGACTCTCTGTTCTCTTTAGGCCGTGGAGGACCTGGTGGTCGTGGGGCTGGTGAAAGCCATCGGGGTGTCCAGCTCCAACCACGAGCGGCCGGAGAGACTTTTGAACAAACCCAGCTTGAGATCCAAGCCAATGACTAACCAGGTGAGGCTTTCACAGGCGGAGTTGGCTTTTCAGCTGTCACTTCCATGTGGCTGGACTGGAGACGGAAGAAGGGGGGGGCACACCGTGGGCATCTGTCTGCGGTGGCTGCAGACGGGCGACTCCGGAGCAGGTAGGCAAGCAGCTGGGGCCAAGGCAGGAGAGCTGCCCCAGAGGCTTGTGCGGACGGCCGTGCCCTCGGAAGGCAGGGCGAGGGCTGAGCTGGGTTTTCCCTGCGCAGAGGCGATGAGGGATCCCTCTCACAGCCGAGCGGGCCTCCTCGGAAAGCTCTTCTCTGTGGACCAGCCCCCGCAGAGGGCAGCTGCCGTGCCGATTACTAAGGCAGAGGGCAGCTTTGCTCGTGCAGATAACGTGACGCGTTACGTGCTCGTTTGTGTCCGGCCTCCTTCAGCCTCATACCTGTTGGATGCCTCCATGCCCAGTATGACTGTCCCTCGTTCTGCTCTCTGTGTGCTGGTCCGTTATGTCAGTAATGGGCGCTGACTCATTCTAGCACTGAGGGGCCCTTGGTAGTTTTGGGGACATGAAAATAGAGCATCACATTCCATATTTTATTTTAAAAAAACCCTTTCTAGCTAAAGCATTACAGGGAGACTGGAAAGGGTGTCGTTCCGTGAGTCTCCCCAGGTGAGCGAGCTCAGGTGGTCGCACCTGGGGCAAGGAACAGAATAGCCGCTGCCTTCTGGAAGCTCTTCTAGCCACTGTCCCCGCGAAAGGATCACTCAGTGTTGCTGCTTTACAACCTTGAGATCTGTCCAAGTGCGTCATAGCTCCTATCCCGTGAGGGTTCGCAGCGGCACTTTAAATCCCGGGAAGGGCTGGTACCTCATCTGTGGGGTGCGGAGGGGCTGGAGGGTATGTCCCCTAATTAGGGTTCTGAGCCCCCCAGGAATGTGGGTTCAGAAGGGTTTTCAGAGAGCCCACAAGGCACTGTGGTAGCTCTTCATTCTCCCTAAACAAGCATCTGTTGGCAGCCCACTGAGGACCTGGGATCGTAGGTGAGAATTCAGAGGATGTGGAGACAGGAATCCCGCCCTCCAGTTTTTTCCAGCGCCCGCTGGCGTCCCCAGGAGCCTGTTTTGCCCCGTGACTCTCCAGCCCCACTCGCTGTCCTCACAAGTGTTGATGAGCACGTTCCGCGTGGCTGGCTCGTTCTGGGCGTGGGCAGATGTCTGTGCACACGGTACCGTCTGACCAAACCCGCGCCGTCGTGGAGCCTGCGTCAGACAGCAGGAGACAGACTGTGGCAAATGAGTACAACATCGAAGATGTCCGTGATGTGGGCTAGAGTGGAGAGTAGAGGACAGAGGGGGCCTCACCGAGCAGGGGCCATCTGCGCGTCCAGGGAATGCGGGTGTCCCTTCTGCCTGTTCTCAAGGGCTTGTCACTTCACAGCGGTAGACGCTTGAGTCTCAGGGCGGGTCACGCAGCTCCTCAGTGACAGCCAAGACAGTCATGCGTGGCCTGTTTCCTGACGTGCTGTTGCTCTGAATTTTCTTGGTAAGCTGGGACTCTCTTCGTAGGTTGAGTGCCACCCGTATCTGACCCAGAAGGACCTGATCCGTTTCTGCCAGTCCAGAGACGTGTCCGTGACCGCGTACCGGCCCCTTGGCGGTTCCAGGTAGGACTGCGTTGCTGGCGGTGAGTCTAGGCTCCAGCAGGAAGGAGATGTACCATCTGGCCGAATGTGGGTGGTTAGCGGAGGCTCTTGGGAAGCAGGGTGTGGGCAGGGTGCACACAGACCACAGGCACCCTGCAGGGGTGGTGCCGGGGAGGGAGCTGGTGCCGGGAGCCAGAGGAGAGTCACTGGGGGACAGAAGCGGCTGGGGCAGCCTCTTCCGGAGCCCGTCTAGCACGAGGCTCCTCTGCTCAGCCTCTTCCTCGGGCTGGTTCACAGACATCCCCGTCTCCGCAGAACAGAGACTCCTCCCGTCCTCCCCAGATGAGCCCCCACGCTGGCAGCCCTCGGACCAGACACCTGAAAATCCAGCCTTCCCAGTCCATCAGCAACGTCCTCTGATCATTCTGCCGGCGATCCCGGGCTCTGTCTCTTGGTCTCTTGTTCTCTCCATCGCTGCCTTGGCTAAGGGGGAGTCCCTGAAATTCTGCAGCCTCTTCACTCCGGCCGTGTTTGACCGGTTCCGGTTCATTGTCTACACCGCACACGTAGCCAAAGGGAGTGTCTCAAAATGATCAGGCCACTTTCTTGCTTAAAAACTCTTCAGTTCTTGCGATGGCCTAGGAGTCCCAGCTGGTCTGGCTGCTGCCCATTTCTGGCCTCATTTCTTCCTGCAGGAAGTGTCGCACCGACCCCTGGAAACTACGCGGGTCTCCCGGAATGGAGCGCGTTCTTTCCAGTCTCTGTGCCTCTGAACACACTGTTTTCTTTACCTAGAGATCCTGCTGTTATCCTTTTTTTTCTCTTTTTTTTTAATTTGGCTAACTCTGATTTCTAATATATGGTTTAACAGCGTCACCTCCTCCAGGAAGCTCTCCAGACTCCTCGTAGTCAGGTTTTGTCCATCTCCCTCATCATACTGTCCTGTCGTCAATTCCTTTTCCCACTTGTCAGAGCTGCTTCAGTGCAGGGACAGTGTGTGATTTGTGACTTCCTGCCCACCCCTGGCTCAGTGCCTGGGACAGAGCAGGTGTCCTGGGAAGGCTGGAAGTATGTGTGATCACCTGTGTAATCACACGGGAAGCAGGCACAGGTGTTGGAACTTGGTAGCAGCGAGGGAGTTGCCGGAAGGCCAGGTCTGGTTGTGCAGCTGAGCGCAGGGTTGGAGGGGGCGCAGTGGGTGCTGGGAGCCACCCAGGGAGGGGAACCAGCCTAGTGCTGGGCCTGCAGCAAATGTAGTCAGCCGTGTAGTTCCTTCAGGAGACTCTGAGCACTGTTTTTAGAGCAGTGCTCGGATCTAGGAGCTGCGTAAAGAACGGTCCTTGCGGAAACGTCTCCCCAGAGTGGTTAGGGCCTGTGCCTGCGGGACCACGCTGAGGCCCAGCACCATTCTTTGCACGGGGGCTCGCACACGTTCCCAGTCTCAGGCTTGTTCTGGTATTTGAGCTGGACTTTTCTGAAATTACCGTCATCAAAACCAGTGACGGGAACAGAGCTGCGGTGCTAGGTCAGGCCTGGTAGTGTCAGAGGGACACACACCAGAGCGAGGGCCGACATTGTCACCTTGTTCTCGAGAAAACACCGAACGCCCATCAAAGCAGCGCGTCCAGCTGTCTCCACGGGAGCGTTAGCTGCGGCTGTGGCTAGACGGTGGGATTTGGGTGATGGGCTCGTCCCTGCAGTGAGCAGGAATCGTGATGAGATGAAAGCAAATCCTGGAGGAAGTGGTGTGTGTTTTGAAGCAAGAAGCACACATGTTTGGCCCCTAACCCCCTTCCCGGTCCTGCTCTCTCTAGTGAGGGGGTGGACCTGATGAATGACCCTGTGATTCAGAGGGTGGCCCAGAAGTACAACAAGTCTCGGCCCAGGTAGGAGGGGGCTGCCGGGGCTGTGGGTGCTGCTCCCGCTTCCTCGGGGAGCCAGGCTCTGGGTGGAGGAAGGGCTCGCTCACGCTGGCCCCGCTGCCCCCTGCCCGAGCTCCCTCGGTTCCCCAGTGCACAGGGCCGTGCGCCCGCCCACTCGGGGAGGGGCTTTGCCTCCGTGTTCCGTGCCCTCATGTTGCACATCTAAGGGTTGGGCGCCTCAGTGAGTTCTCGTTAATTCACCGAATTCTCCATGGGCGCTCATTACACACACATTGGAGGAACGTTCCAGAAAACACCGGTTTGGTTCCTGGAGGACTCTGGAGAAGACGACCTTGTAATAAAAGCTCCAGCTGCCCCTGACTTTGGGACGTCGTAGTACCATATGATGTAAACTGTGCAGGAAACGGCTGACTCCCGGGGAGTCCCCTTTGGCTGATGTTGGACTTTTTTTCCGTAGATTTTGCTCTGATTTCAGATCCAGAGGAATGTGATCGTGATCCCCAAATCAGTCACCCCAAAGCGGATTCTTGAGAATATCCAGGAAAGTGCATTTCTTCTTTTACTCGGAGGGTTTGGGCTCATCGCTTAGTTAGCTGGGGGTCTGACCCCGCAACAAACCGGGGCCTGTGGCTTTGACACAACAGAGGGCGATGAAGCCGCAGCTGGGACAAGGAATCCGAGAGGGTGACCGCGTCGGCCTAGGAGCCGGCCAGCTGGCCAAAATGGGGGACAGAGAGAGGACGAACACCTCGTGTGTCGCCCAGAGGCGCCCTGGGCTGCCTGCCTAGCCAGGCACCTGCTCCCCAACCCTCGGGACCGCTGTCCCCGGGCTGCCCTGAGCCCTCCAGAACTGAACCCAGCCTCCCCGCAGGGCCCCGGCCCGCCCTCTAGTCAGCACTGCTGTGGACTCCGAGTCCCTGGTTTCTACTGGAATGCGGGGGCGTGAGGGGGCCTCGGGCACTGCACCTTTTCCCCCAGCTCCTCATCAGCAACCAGGGTTGGCTCTCCTGGGAGAAAAGCTCCTATTTTAGGAGTGGATCGTAGTCCTCAAGTGTGTTAAGAGCAAAAGGGCGGGCAGGGTGCCGGGGGGCAGCTTAGAATTCTGCTTGAGAAGGAACGGACACAAAAATCATGCTGTGTTACAGCTACTGTTAGACTTAATGGTCCTGGGGCCCCGGTGCCCTCCCAGGTGGTAGGGTGTGCGGCACAATGGATTTGGGTTTGGTTTTTCGTTTTTTAGTTTTTTTGAGCAGTGAGGGAAAGATGCTTTGCTGTGCCTCTTAACTACCCTGGGTGTCCCTGACTCCCGTGGGGTGGACACAGCACCCGGCCGGTCTTCCCAGGGGCTCCCACGCAGCCCCGGGCCGCCGGCGTCCTGCATCCGCTCACAGCCCGTGTGTGGGTGTGAAGGCTGGCGCTCTGGGGAAATTGCAGGGGCCACACGCCGTGTTTCCTCTGCAGCGTCGTGTCCCCAGCAGGCCTGGCCCAGCGCCCTGCAGGTAACGCGTGTGCAGCGAAACGTTCACCAAACTGAATTTGCTGTGAACGTCTGTTTCGGCTGCAGGTGTTTGACTTTGAACTATCAGAACAGGATATGAATGACATCCTCGGCCTGGACAGGAACTTCCAAATGTGCCGGCTACCCACATAAGTGCGGCTCCTTCACTGGCTCTTGTGATAGAGGCTCTCATAGACAGACAGAGGGGTTGGTCCCTGAGGAGGTGTTGATTGTATACGTTTGAGGTTAGCGAAGCCTTCTCACAAGTCTCTCCTGTGTGAGGCTGGGCCACTGAGTGAATCCAAAGACTGATTTAACATATCGGGGAGCTTGAAAGTACACGAATATAGCTTTTAGAATGTTTCTCTTAGAGTATACATCTCTACTTTTTGTTTCCTGTTTCTCAGAGCTGTGAACCACAAGGACTATCCTTTCAACATAGACTACTGAGCATGGCTCCCCCTTCCTCCTCCTGCTGCCTGGACAAACACCCCCAGCTCCCACCCGGCCCGCCTTGGCACAGGGCGGCCAAGGAGGGGAGGGATGGGTTTGATTTGGTGGATTCTCGCCTGGAACAGAAGCTGAGCTCCCTGAGAAATTCACACGGTTCAGCTGGTCTCAGTGACAGAGACAAACACCACGGGAGCGATGATTACTCTCTGTGGAGAACCTCCGTCCTCAGAATCCTTTGAGCACAGTGTGATGGGGTTTTTACGAGACAAGCCAAGTGGCCTGTACTCTCGAAGAAAAGATTGTATGGTGGAAATACTCAAATACAAGTGTTGAGATCATCACGTGGTGAGTCTCTACGTCTGTCACTCAGCCCCCTCACCAACCCTGGGCTGGCCCCGCGTCGTCTGTGCGCCTCTGTCCCTGCCAATCCCCCAAAATCCTTACCTTCACACAACCAGGGAACACCTGGCTAAAAGTGGGAGATGTCTCAGTTCAACAGAGAGGCTTTTTTTCTTACTCAGGTAAACCCATGGAAACCCCAGCTCAGAGAGGAAATGTGGGCCATTCCCGTCAGGCAGTCAGGGTCCACCTGGTCCCGGGGCTCCATCAGGAAGGGCATGGGGGCTCATGTCCACACAGGCTCATTCAGGGCAGTGTGTGACTTGTCTCACTAGGTGGCACTTGGGCACCAAGCTTGGGGCCATTTTTTATTTTGAGCTGCTGTAAATTATGTTAGATTAAAAAGGGTCATTTTCTTGAATGAATTCCCAGATGTTTTCCCTCTTTCCGTTAAGTGTAAGGCTAATAGGGCTTTTTATTAGTATTTACAGAATTTTTCTATTTAACGAAGTAATTCTACCAGATTCAGACTGCAAAGAAAATGGAGAAGAAAGAGCTCCGTTACAGAGAGCGACAATAACAACATCTAAGAAGAATCATCTTTCTATGGGTCCTTCTACTCTCTGCCTATGCCCACGACATACGTAGATAAATGACACAGAATATGTAACAGGGGTGCCTAGCTGGCTCCGTCCTCGGAGCATGGGACTCCTGGTTTCAGCCCAGGTGATGATCTTAGGGTCGGGAGATTGAGCCTCAAGTGGGGCTGTGCGCTCAGCAAGGAGTAGCTTCTCCTGCTCCCTCTGCCCCTCCCCCACTGCGAATGCACTCCCCCCCCTCAAATCTTAAAAAAGTATCTGTAATACATGTAATACACATGAAATAAATGGACATAAACTTCACAAAACTATATTTGTAACTTTTTTAAAAGGCATGAATGTATACACTAGATGTACAGTTCATGCAACTGTCTACTTAGTATTTTGACAAACAATTTTAACAGATCATCCGAGCTTCCTGCCTAGTGTAAATGAATTCCACATCTTACAATGAATCCTTATCGCCGTAAGTCCAGCCTTACAAAGGCACTGCTTGCTGGGGTGGGGCGGGGGGTGGTGTTCTCACCCCTACAGCTAAACTCGGCTGCCGGCAAACGTCAGTTCACAGGTAAGCCTTGAGGGACCGCACGGTACTGTAAGTTCCATCACTGTACTCCGCAGAAAAAAAAGGATTACACATTTGTAAGTGGCTTTTTACTAGGACCACCTGGAATAGCAACACCACGGCAGGTATCGTGAGGGTAAGAAACACTTGGCCCTGCAGAGCTGGGGTCGGGGACAGGTGCACGCGATGAGCACTGCGCCTGCTTGGGCCTGCGCGGGCGGCCGCCGGGCTCTGTCGCACTGCGCATAGCACGAGGGCGCGGCCTGTGGACGAGTTAGGCCAGCACCGCAGCAGAGACCCCAGCTGGGACCCCAGGCCCTCGTGGGAGGACAGCGGAGCGGGTCCGTGCAGGGCGCCGGCGCATTCGCGGTTCTGACGGCAGAGGGCGCCGCTGCTCCGCCTGTGGATTGGGGGCTTTACCCGGGGTCGTCTGGGGGTGGGGGACGGGGGAGCCGGGCTCAAGGCCAGAAACGGAGCGCCTGGGCTGGTGACACTGGCGCCTGGGCGGCCTCCTCTCGTTGGACCAGCGGGAGCGCAGGGGCCAGCCCCGGGGAGGCGGCTGGGCTTTGTTCCCGAGCCTGGACCGACATAAGGGGCCACTGGCCCGGAAGGTCCCCCGAGGGGGCCAAGCAGCGGGGCGCTGTTTGCTTACCCAGCTCGCGAGATCCGACCACTCCCCGGGGGCCCGCCCCGCACCTGGTCCGACGCGCGGCGCCCGCGGGTGTGACGCCTGCTCCCATCTAGAGTGGCCCCGTCCCGCCTGGACCACAGGAGATGGACGGCTGCCGGGGGGCCTCTGTCTCTGTGCGGGGGACAGCCTTCGTGAAAAGGGCCACCATTGCTTCCCCACCTCGTGCACACAAGGGCAGCTTGGGATCTCTGAACAGCGGGGTCCGACTTTTTTGAGGGAACTTCTATTATTACCAACAGTGGTTGAACTTGAGCGCCAATACATATATATTTTTTATGTATTACATAATGCACTCTTTACTAATCCGTTGTGTACATTATAAAATACACCTCAAAATAGAAAAAAAATTTAAACAGCCAGAGATGAATAAAAAATTGAAAAATAAGAACTTTAATCATGGTCCAAACTCTATTCTCACGAATTTATTGTGATTACTAACAAATTCTTTTCAAAGCAACAGTTGGTCTATGTTTATATATATATGTATTATATAAATGTACATTATATATGTAAATATATATAAAATATATATTATATATATAATTATATATAATTAAATATAATAATATAATAAATAATAAATATAATTAAATATATAATTATATATAATATATATAAATATATATAAAATATTATATATTATATGTGTACATTATATATATATAAATATATATATATAAATATATATATATTCAATCTTGATTCAATACTTTGTGGTATAGAAATTTGAAATTCTGATTCTAAACTAAGTTTCATTTGAAACATGGTCTTTATGGCAAGCAGCTGGGGCTGGGAATTCCTCACAAGGCATTGCTGCAAATGGAGAAAGCACATCTTTGGAATCTCTTAATAAATCATGGCACTCATTTCTCAGTCCCTTTTCCAATTATACCATTTTTGAAATTTGAACTCTCCGATATATGTGAAGTTTTTTGAAAAATTACACTTTCAGTAACTTTTACGAGAACTCTAAATTTATAAAGATCTCCTGGTGGAAAGTTGGGATTATATTTCAAAGTCCTTAAAATGTGTCTATGAATTGATAGCAATTGAGCCTTTAGATATCGAAGTTTAGGAAAAAAGAGGCCCCCTACCCCCATTCTCAAGTTGGAGAGTGGGTGTTGCTAAAGAAAACTATTTATGGTTAATCATTTGAATGGGGGGGGCAGCTAAAATTTGAATTTAACAATTTCCAGAAAGGATTGTTCTTCCCCTGGGGTTCATTTGGACTTCGAACTCCTCACCCCAAATTCTGAATTATCCCACCACTCGGTAACTAGCAATGCCAAGTCCTAGGACTGGCTTGAAATCCCCATCATTCAAGGTCAGAGAAGGGGGTGTGTATCGAGCCACTGGGTTCACCGGCTGGGCTAAATCACTCCTGTTTTTAATTCCACTTCCTCCGGGTTGTGCTCTGACAGGACTGTTCTTGGGATTACTCAAGCGCTGGTAGCAGGGCCTATGGCTAGAGCCTCACCCAAATTCTTTTGACTGTGGGTTAGGAAAAATTCCAAAAGGAGAGGGAACATATGTGTGGAGATTCCTCGAGAAATTAAAAATAGAGCTTCCCTATGACCCTGCAATTGCACTACTGGGTATTTACCCCAAAGATACAGATGTAGTGAAAAGAAGGGCCATCCGTACCCCAATGTTCATAGCAGCAATGGCCACAGTCGCCAAACTGTGGAAAGAACCATGATGCCCTTCAACGGACAAATGGATAAGGAAGATGTGGTCCATATACACTATGGAGTATGATGCCTCCATCAGAAAGGATGAATCCCCAACTTTTGTAGCAACATGGACGGGACTGGAAGAGATGATGCTGAGTGAAATAAGTCAAGCAGAGAGAGTCAATTATCATATGGTTTCACTTACTTGTGGAGCATAACAAATGAGGGAAATTGGAAGGGGAGGTGAACCATGAAAGACTATGGACTCTGAAAAACAATCTGAGGGTTTTGAAGGGGCAGGGGTGGGAGGTTGGGGAAGCCAGGTGGTGGGTATTAGAGAGGGCACGGATTGCATGGAGCACTGGGTGTGGTGCAAAAACAATGAATACTGTTACGCTGAAAAGAAATTTAAAAAAAAAAAAAAAGGAGAGGGAACATATGGAGCTGGAACCAATTTTCTGGTTTCTTACTTTATCAAGCACTTTTTTATTTTGAGATAATTATAGATACACAGTAAGGTGTATACACAGTATAGATACACAGTAAGGTCTAAGAAATAATACAGAATATCCCATGTACTCTTTACTCAGTTTCCTCTTGTGGTACCATCCTGAAAAATGATAGCACAGAATCACAAAAACTAGGGTTTTGACATTGATGCAATCCACTGATCTTATTCAGACTTTCCCAGATTTATGCTGATTTGTGTCTGTGATTTTTTTTTTCACATGTGTGTGTTCAGGAATACTTCACCACAATCTAGACACAGAACATACTCCCCTCTCTCTTCTGTTCTTACTCCCTCCTTTTTCTCCAGCTTGACTGAGACATAGTTGACAGATAAACTGTATGTATTTAAAGTGTACCAACACAATGATTTGGCAAACATGTTCATTATGAAATGATTCCCACGATCAGGTTAATTAATACACCCATCACCCCAGATGGTTAACAATTCATGTGTGCGTGTGAGAGAGAACACTTAAGATCTAATCTTTAAGCAAATACCCATTTTACAATATAGTATTATTAACTCTAATTACCCTGCTGAATGTTAGGTCCGTGGAACTTATAACAGAAGTTGTGCCTTTGACCAACATCTCTGCATTCCCCCCGCCGTGACGACACGAATGTTAGAGTTTTTTGTTATTACTCAGGGCCCACGAGGCTCTGTTCATTTTTCCCCCCTGGTTACTTTCTCTCTCTTGTTCCCATTGGGTGATTTATGTTGTTTTACCTTCCACTACACTAATTATTTCTTCTGTCAAGTCTATCCTTTGAGATTCTTATATCGTTTATTGTTTTTTTTTCAGTTCTAAAATTTCCATTTTGTGTCTTCTATTTCTTTATTGAAATTTTCTGTCTTTTCATTTGTTCCCAGTTGTTTGCCATTGCTTGTTGAAACATTTTCATGATGGCTGCTTTAAAATTTTTCTCAGATAATTTTCATATCTTGGTCTTCTTGGTGTAGGGCATCTGTCGCTTGTCCTTTTTCACTGGGTTTGATAATCTTGTCCTTGGTATTATGAGTAATTTTTAATTGAAATATGGCCTTTGTGTATTGTGTTTTATTATTTAAATTTTTTAAATTTTATTTATTTATTTGACAGAGATCACAAGTAAGCAGAGAGGCAGGCAGAGAGAGAGGAGGAAGCAGGCTCCCCGCTGAGCAGAGCGCCCGATGCGGGGCTCAATCCCAGGACCCTGGGATCATGACCTGAGCCGAAGGCAGAGGCTTAACCCACTGAGCCACCCAGGTGCCCTTTGTATTGTGTTTTAATTAAGTTTTAGATTCTTTTAAAAGGTCTGCTAAATTTGTATAGTGTGGTAAACCCACAGAACAAAAGAAAAAAAAGATTCTTACGGACAAGTAAAAAGCTTGAAAGTATACTAAATGGTTAGCTTTTGGGGGGAGGGGACTATGATCAAAGGATTAACATTTCAACCTCAGTGACACAGAAAAAAGCAAAATAAACTAAAAGCTAAGGTATTAAAAGGTTAGGTTGTTTGATATGTATTTTCATTGACTTTGGCGGGGGGGGTAAAGACAGGGTTTAGAGACTTTTATTTCCAGATCCAGGGACTCAAGCCACATTTCAGCCTGTCAGGCTAAGCAACGTAGGATAAACCAGATACCATCTCATCCGTGAGCTGTTCACCCATCATCAACCAGAGTCCCAAGAACTCCAGGGCAACCAGACACCGCTGTCAATTCTCATCAAAGAATGGATAATCTGGATGATTAACAAATCTAGAAGGTAAAGGGAGAGACTTAGTCAAGTATGTTTCCGGCCTGGGTAAAGAGAGGTTTCTTTTAAACTGGCTTAAGTATGAAAATTAACGGAACCTTCTTTTGGGATAGGTACAAAGGCACCCGGTTTTACAATAACCATGTCCCACTGCCTGACACTGTAAGGAATACAATGTCGAGAATATACTTACAAGCTCATGATCACAGGTACAAAAACAAACCGAAATGTCGCCTTTTTGCAGGTATTGTACTAGTCTACAACCTAAGGAGATAAGCTCTTTGCGTTGCTATTTTAAACTCACAAGAGGGCAGAAATGAATTCTGGCTCTTTTAAAACCATGACAACCTAGTTTAATCCATCAAGTTAACAAATATTTCAAGGCAATGACAAGGAGGGTGACAAGACTGTCACTGTGATTCAGTTTCTTTCAAGCACTCAGAAGTAATTCATTTACGTCTTGGTGAGAAATTACTTTTTAGACGTGGGGTGGATACAGTGGTTATGATATAAGATACTTCATCAGGGGGTTTTCATTTTAGCAAGGGAGGTAGACCCCCCTCTCTATATATATATAGTAATAATTTTGAGATAAGAAGTGCTAAATCACTAAAAATTACTAATTAAAATGACCAGTGTTAATTGCCAGGGAATACTGCCCCTGTCTCCACTCTCCACCCCCCTTCCCTCTCTATCATTTGATGGTATTATTCATTCAACAAGCTTTTATTAATGACTGGGGGAGACGGTAGATATTTAAATCTTGCCCTAGGAATCTAACACTTCGAAGGAGGTCAATGGGAAATCAACTACATAAATCAATAAACGGCATGGGATGCTAATTAGGAATGTATGCCAAAGGAAAAACGAAGTTGAGTAGAGACAAAGGCATTGCTGGGCAGAGTTGCGTTCCTAGGTAAAGTGACAGAGAAAGCACCATGGAGGTGACCCCTGAGGGAGGACGTGAAGGAGGTGAAGGAGTGGGCATCCAGCCATGGGGAGGAAGAGCATTCTAGGCAGAGAGAACAGTCAGTGCAAAGGCCCTGGGATGGGCCTGGTGTCTGTGCAGAATAGCCAGGCCTTGGGGCTGCACTGCTGTCAGCAGCGCGAGAGCAGAAGGACATGGAGGCAGACAGCGAGGCCCCTGCAGGTGTCGTAAGGAACTTGGCTTTCACTCTGAGTGAGAAGGCAGGCTACCAGATGTCAAGAAGAGGAGTGCCTGTCCACTCTGGCCTCCAGGTGTGGATAGGAAGTGCCAGCTCTGGGAGACGGAGCAGACGGCAGCCGGCTACCTGAGCAGGAAGACTTTGGGCTGTGTGTGTGTATGGGTGTGCAGCAGGGGGTGTCTGCACAACCCATAGGAGCTCAATTGTAGACATGGCGGGTTTGAGGTTCATATTCCACACCCAAGTGCTGCTGAGTAAACAGATACACAAATCCTCATAGGTCTGGGCTGGATCTAATTTGGGGAGTGTGTATTTATTTAGATGGCATTTAAAGCATGAAACTGGATGAAATTGCTGATGAGGTCAATGCAGATAGGAAAGAGAAGAGGTCCAAGGACTGAGTCTCTCCAAAGTTAAGAGGTCAAGTGGATGGAGAGGAGCCTGCAAAGAACATGAGAAGGACCAGCTAGGGAGACCAAGGGAACACAGACAGGATCTGGGGAAGGAAAGCCAGGAGCACGTTTCTAGGAGGGGAGAGCGATCCACCAGCTAAGACAAGATGAATGAGGAGAGGAGGTCATGGTGGACCATGATGAAAGAGTTTTGGTGAAGTGGAGAGCAGGTGCCTGCTTTGTGTAGGTTCAGAAGAGGATGAGAAGGGAAAGCCTGGAGGCAGCAAGTATAGGCTTCTTCCAGATGTTTCCCTGTGAAAGGAGAAATGGTGAGCGACTCCAGAGTGAAGCTGGCTCAAGAGATTTTTGGTTTTGGTTTTAAAGATGGGAGCATGTTTGAATGCGTCTTGGAATCATCCCAAGGGAAGGGAAAAGATGGTGGTGGAGGCAGACTATGGGATTTCCCCAGGTTTCCTAAAGGCCACTGAATAAAGCAGAGAGAAGGACAGAAGTCAAATGTATCTGCAGGGAACACCAGCCCCTGGAATGCAAGTGGGGCAGGGACAGAGGATGGGAGAGAACAGGGAACATGGGGTCGGAAGGTTGGAAGGAAAAATGTTTCCCAGCCACTTCCTAAAAGATGAGGCCCCCCTCTGTGGATTGTGACCAATGGAGTCCCGTCACCATCCTGCTGCCCAGTGTCTACAACTCACCGAGCTACTTACTCATCTGGAAAATAGCGAATGTTTTTGTTTAGGCCATCCAGACTTTCCATGTCCTCTGGTGTCAACTGGAAATCGAAAACCTGTCAGAAACATGAGAAGACGGATTCCTTTTCCCTGCATCTATGACTGCCCCCGTCCCTCTGGAGACACACATATTTATCTAGAGATGGATACAGGTTTTGTGAGAGGATGGTCATGAACCTGGGGTTCATTCCCCTGTAGGAGGGTGGCAGTGTGTCCACTGAACCCACAGGCCCCTCAGGGGCGCTGGGCGGGTGTGGGGTGGCTGGAGCAAAGGATCCTAGACAGGGTCAAGCCCAAATCATATCTCATCTAACTCCTTTATTTCACAGCTCAAGAAATCAAGGCCATACTGTGGGGTTAAAAAAACAAAACAAAACAAAATGGGATCGGGACCCAAACCTGACCTTCTGGAGTCCTTTCCCAACACCAGCTTCCCTCCCTGTAGCAGCGGGAGGAGAGAGCAGTTACGTACAGCCCTGTGACACATACAGAACACACAGAGCTAAGCTTTGTCCAAGCAGAGCTCAGGCGCCCCACAGATAACCCAGACCACAGGGAAGTGAGGTGCCTCCATCAGTCCCCAGATGCCCATGCCCTATCACATACCTGGTAGTTCTCCCAAATTCTCTTCTTGTTGAAGCTCTTGACCAAGGCCACCAGGCCCCGCTGCAGCTGGAAACGCAGGGCCACCTGGGCGGGGGTGCGCCCATGCTTTGAGGCGATGGCATTGAGCACCGGATCCTTCAGGAGAACGGGGCAGTTCTTGTTCACCCTGGAAGGGAGGCAGAGGAGCTGTGTGCCTGGGCTGTGTGGCCCCTTGCTCTAGGGGTGTTTCCACCTCTGAAATCTGCCTCATTACCCTCTGGCTATCTCCACCCCTGTTTCCGTTTCTTTTGGTAAATCCAGACAAGGACCAAAGAAAGGAAGACAGAAAAGGACTCTCAGGTATTATTTCTTTTTTTTTTTTTTAAACATTTCTGAGAAATGTGGTAGAAGATTGGATAAGTCAAGAAGATAAAAATGTCCAAAGTAGGACCCAATAACCTCCCTGATTTTTTAAGAATTATTTTAGAAGAATTTCAAAAATGCTTTCAGTGAATGACCTGTTTTATCAAGGGCTAAAAGGTGCATTCTTACATTGCTCTTCAAGAGATAAACTGAGACTTACAGAAGTTGTTAGTTGCCTCTTCTCACTCAACTATACTCAACTATCAACTGCCAGAATCGTGGTATGGGCTCCCTTTGTCACTCTTGAAGGCCAGAGCTTTTGAATTGTGTGAACATTCTCATCAGTGATTTTATTGCCTAATAAAATATTTTACTGGCAATATTTTATTGCCTAATAGTGGTATGGCAATATTTTATTGCCTAATAGTGTTATTGAGTCATGACAATGTAGGCTGGTTAAAGGGTTTCCAGAATGGATTACTCCTGCTGTCTACTGTCAACCTTCTCCCGAGAGCTGAGCAATAACTCCAGCAGCTACGGTGTCTGTGATTAGAATAAGTGCACAGAGGTCATTACCACTCCTTCCTAAAGTCAGTCCCTAAGGCAGCGTATGCAGTCAGGATGATGTCCTTGGACTTGCAGAACTCCAGGAGTTTGCTCTGGTTGAGGTAAGGGTGACACTCCACCTGCAGAACGCCAGGCACAAAGGTTGAACCACAGAACCACAGCCACCAGACGGGTGAGGAACAGACAGGGCTGCACCACGTGGTGGCAAGTGCATTTTGTACACACGATCGTCACCCACAGTGGTACCAGTGGAGCGGCCTGAGGCTGAGCCCTGATTACTGCCCAGAGACAGCACAGCATTGCTGAGAAACGTGCTCGGTGCTCAGAGGAGACAAGCTTAGGGTGAGCGGTCGCCTGACAGGCTCTGTCTCTCCAACTGGAGAGCACAAGGCAGGCTTGGGTCTCCCTCACGCACTGCTCGTGTCTACAGAGGAGCAGCTCTGCCTTTTCTAGTTATCCTCAGCCTCACACTGACCTCTTCTCTTCACAGACGCCACACCTGGAAACCAGTCACTCATCCTCCACATCTGAGCCATCTTCATTAGGTCAGTTTGGCTCCACAAGCCAGAGTGCTTTCCTCTTTCCCACCACACCGTATTGCAAGGTCTCTGCGTGATCCTAGGAGCCTCCAAATGCCGGCCCTGCTCTGCATCCCCGCACCTGTTCCCTTCCCCAGGCTCAGTCTTGTCCTGGGTGTAGAGGGATTTGGAACTTCTGGCCCCTTTGCCATCACGTGGAAAGAAATGGCTAGTTGTTGTTCATCAGAAACTGTTACTAGTGTTATGACCCGCACACGCTGCTAGCAGAGAGGTTTCTGTGCCGTAAATGGTGATCAGTGGTGCTGTCACCTGACTTTCCATCTGACTTTCTGTCTTCCTTCCATGCACCTGGAGAGCAGGAAATCCAGAACCTTTACCCAGAACGCTAACCGCCTTTTCTCTGCTTTCTAGTCCAGATCTAGGTGGGCGAAGACTATTGCCCCAGGCATGGGACAGGTGGGCTGGGGACCAGCTCAGCTCAGCTTGGGACTCTGGGCTGGCCTTGGCTAGATTCCCTTCCATCAGATCATCAGATCAATTAGGCTCGAGTTAAACCCCAGGTGGTTAGGCTGCAGGTTAGTAGTTTTCACTGTGGGGTGGGCCTGAACAGAAACAGAATGTTCTGGCCATCTTTCAAGCTGGCCACTTCCCCTTCCCCCTGATAGAAGCATGAGTGTTCACTGGGAAATCCTGGTAGGGCTTCTGGAGGTACAAGCCATGAAAGTCTGGGGACCGTCCCATAGATGAGCCCCCTGGAGTCTTCAGCTCTGGGACTCGTCCACTCTGAGCCTCCAGCAAGTCAGCAGCTCTGTTTGACGCTTTCCTGCCCCACAGGGACCCTCGCAGTGGCTATGTTCCTGGGAAGCCACAGTTCTCTGCATCTGTCTGTCTGCCTCTCCAATTTTCAGAGCCACAGCTTGCCCTGTGACCTCAATCCTCTGATGGATTGAGAAAAAGTAGCTGGTTCTCCATTGGTCCAGCTTTTTCATTATTGTACAGATGCAAAGGACAACCCCGTCGCTTCTTACAAGCCCGATCCAAGACCAGAAGTGTGCCAGAAGCACTTTCTACTGCACACCTTTCTCATTGCTTTTCCCCTGATTCTGGTGGTCAGATCAGAAGAAGCAAAGATCCGGAATGAAATGTCTTGCTGGGCCACATTAACTCTCTGGGTCACGGCCACACGTGTTTGCGGCTCGGTCAGCACCACGCACAGGGAGGAAGGGGGATGGATTGTACACAGGTCCACAAGCCAAACCAGGACCCGGGTCCACCTGACCTCACCCACCATCCACGACGGTCTGTTCGCCTCACAGGTCACAAGGAACTACACTCTGCCCTAGCTCTTTGGGCCCGTGTAGACTCCCCACTAACCAATGGCCTCCATTTGGCCATGTTCTGTTGGCCCCGTAGAGCTCAGGGTCACTGCAGAGGTCACGACCACTCAGCTTCTTAATTTGTCACCACTACTCAGGTCAAAACCGGTTTCTTTACTTTCTCCAAACTCATGATACCCAAAGTGGAGCTAAACCTCTTAAGCAACACAGAACACAACTTTTTAGAACTCCCATTTGTATTTTTCATCTAAAAATAAGCCTCCCAAGTATTGAATACATAAACTGCCTCTCCCTCTCTGTCAGCCGGCCCATGAGAGGTTTTAAAGGAGATGATGTAAACGGGGTGAGTGTGGGCCCTGCCGAGTACAGACGGCCAGCCGCTCACTTCCCTGCTCATCTGACTTCTTACCTTATTTTCTGAGACAAGCAAGTCGTTTGTGTGGCTTATTAAAGCAGGTTTATCTTGACAAGGGGATTTCTTAAATTTTTTTTTTTACTTGTAAATGTGTTTTTGTGTTAAAATACACATAACATAAATTTACCATTTAAAAAAAAAACAAGTTTACCATTTTGGCCATTTCTAAGTGACGGTTCAATGGCGTTCATGTATTCACGTTGTAGTGGGCTGATTTTGTACCATCGAGTCTCATGGTTATCTCATGACACAGAGCTCAAAAGAATTCCCCCATTTTCCTTTACACGGGAGTGCTCCAAATTTGCTGACCAGAGATGAGAAAGCTTAGCGGTGGGTTAGCTTTAATTTTCTAGGGCCAACCACCATAACACCTAGTCCATTACATTCCAACCTGACCCTTGGATGTTTTTTTATGAAACAATGTGGCCTTGGGACCTCTCTCAAAAACTTGCAATGCGTTCTGTTCTCTGCAGGAGAGGGGGAGGCTGCTGGGGACCTTGCTGAAAGAAGGGAAGAGGAAGCTGAGGAGGGAGAAGAGCTTGGGGGCAGATGGGTCCGGCTCACCTGGTTACAGACTGGCTTGTACTTGAGCCCTGGCTTGTTCAGGATCCTCTCCAGATACCTGCGGTTGAGGTTGGACGCGCCAATGGATTTGGTCAGCCCTAAATCCTTACACTTCTCCATGGCCTGAGGAGGAAGGGGTGTGAGGAATGACCTGTGTAACCGGCTGGGGAAGGATGATAAACGGGGGTGGGCTCGTCGTGGGGGCTGGGACTGGGAGAGAACCTGAGACAGAGCAGGAAAGACAAAGCCTCCAAAGGTGCCAGTGTCAATAAAGGGGAAGGAATTAACCACGTGGGAGAATGACAAAGAAAATAATAGGAGAAAAAAAATGAGTCAGAAGATAGAGTAAGTAAAGAAGGCAAGGCGTTCAGGACGGAGCCAAAGGGGCCAGGGTGATTTTTAGCTGACACCTAGAAACCCAGAAAACCCTGAGTGACGGCAAAACGGGCCCCAGGAGAACAAGAGGTGTGGCCCGGGAAGCACAGGAAGCAGGAAGGAGGCCATACCTGTCCCCCAGACCACTGGCTCCCTCTTTTCCCTTTGACCTCATTTCCTATTAAGGTTACCGAAGTCACTCTGGTTCAGTCACAGGCCCCCTTGCTGTTCTTGAACACAACAGGTTCTCTCTCTCCTTAAAAACTGGGCCTTGGGAGCTTTGGAGTGGCTCAGTTGAGCATCTGCCTTTGGCTCAGGTCATGACCCCGAGGTCCTGGTATTGAGTCCGGCATCAGGCTCCCTGTTCAGCAGGGAGTCTGCTTCTCTCTCTCCCTCTGTGATCCCTCTCCCTCTCTTGCTCTCACTCTTTCTCAGGTAAAAACAACAGCACAGGACTTGGCCTTCCTTATACCTGCATCACCCTCCCTCCAGGCACCCACATGATCAGTTCCCTCACTTCCTGCAGATCTTTGCCCACTGTCGGCTGGCCCAGGAGGGCCTACCCTGCCCATCTGCATCCCGTAGCTGCCCTGGCGTTCTCAGTCCCCTTAGCCAGCTCTCCCTTCCCATTCCTCCCCCATGCCAAGCACCTTCCTATCCATGCAGCCAGAGATCTTGATTTGCTCCCTGAAGCAGCCCGAGAACTTAAAAATACTCAGCACTGAGTACACCATAGGCACTCAAGAAGTACTTGCTGAGGTATTGAATGAGGCAGATGTGAAGCCAAGGCAGAGGGACATCCAGGGACTTGTCCAAGGCTACATGGGAGCAGAATTGGACAAGACACACATCTCCCAAGTTTCTTGTCCACCCTCTGTCTCCCAGCATGCAGGGACATAGGTAGCATCTTTGGGGCTGTACTTACATCCCATGTGTCACAGAGATCTACTGTGTCAAAAATGACTTCTCCATCTTTGTCCTTTGGGATAAATTTCTCCCCAGGCTGGGACACAGAAAAGAATGAGAGGTTGTATAAAGCTATCTTTGGCCTCATCCAAGCCATCTAGAGCCTACAGACCTTGAAGCTCATGCAACAATCTATTCTTGTTCTTGAAAGAAATGGAAAGATTAGGGTAAAGGGAAAGAAAGTACCTGGAGGAAGTATCTTCCTAGAAAGTATGTTTTTAACTGCTAAGGGTTTAATAAATATTGTTTGTGTCAAGAGCAACTTGAGACACCCAAGACCCCATCCTTGAGAGAAGTGAGGGTGGTGCCAGTTGGGAGCTCTTTGGCCCCCAACCCTGTGAGACAGGAGGCTCCCACCCCTGCTTTCCACCTGGAGGGGCCTTACAAGAGCATGACTCATCCGCATCTCCAGGCCTGAGTTCCAGACTCACTAAATCTCTTGTATGCCAACTGGTCTCCATACTGGGACATTCCCCAGACAGGAAAGGACAGAGGCTGAGATTCAGGAACATGGGATCTTGAAAATACAGGCAATGCAGTCACAAGATTGAAGCAAAGCCATGGAAACCAGTGAACTCTCTTCACTCTGGGGCTGGAAGGGAATATTATAGCAGAAAAGAAGGGGAATCTCAAAAGTATGATGCATCTTTCCTCCTCATCTTTATTAACTATATCCTCTGTTGTATTCAGCTACTAGTTGTTACATTGATCATCAATGTAAAATAACTTTTGCTAACCTTCAAAGCTACTGGGAGATGAATGAGATAAAGATTCACATAGCTCAACCCAAGCTTCCTCAGCGATGTGTCCAGGCTGGTTAGAACCAATTCTGGGCGGAAGAAGGTTCCCCACACCTGCAGCAGTGGAAGAGAAGTGGTATGAGATGGGTTTTTTAAAGAGTCTTTAGGAGAAATTAATAAAGTACAAAATTCACTATTTGCAATGCAGACATGATACTATATAAAGACTCCACCAAAAAAAAAAAAACTATTAGACCTGATAAATTCAGAATTCAGTAAAGTGGCAGGAGACAAAATTAATATATAGAAATCTGTTGCATTTCTATACAATAAGGATGCAGTAGAAAAAGAAGTTAAGAAAAACAATCCCATTGACAATTGCACAAAAAAAGAATAAAATTTTTAGGAATAAATTTAATCCAGAAGATAAAAGACCTGGTTTCTGAAAATTATAGGACTTTGATGAAAGAAATTAAAGATGACACAAAGAAATGTAAAGACATACCATGCCTGCAGATTGGGGGAATTAATATTGTTAAAAATGTCCATACTACCCAAAGCAGTGTACAGATCCAATGCAATCCTGCTCAAAATACCAACAGCATTTTTCACAGAACTAGAACAAACAATCCTAAAATGTGTCCATACTTATGGACATGTCTCCCGAGGCATGGGAAACAAAAGCAAAAATAAACCACTGAGACTACACCAAAGTAAAAAGCTACTGCACAGCAAAGGAAACAATCAACAAAACAAAAAAAGCAACCTACAGAATGGGAAAAGATATTTGCAAATGACATAGCTGATAAGTGGTTAATATCAAAAACACATAAAGAATTTATACAACTCAACACCAAAAGAACAAATAATCTGATTAAAAATGGCAGAAGACCCGCATAGACATTTTTCCAAAGAAGGCATGCAGGCGGCCAACAGGCACATGAAAAGATGCTCAACACCATCAAACATCAGGGAAACCCAAACCAAAACCACAATGAGATACCACCTTGTGTCTGTCAGAACAGCTAAAATCAACACCACGAGAAACAATAGGTGTTGGCGAGGACTCGGAGAAAGGGGACCCTCCGGCACTGTTGGTGGGAGCGCAAACTGGCACAGCTGCTGTGGATAGCAGTATGGAGGGAGCTTCCTCAAAAAACTAAAACTAGAAATGCCATATGATCCACTACTCTAATTCCATTTTGGGGTATTCACCCAAAGATAATGAAAACACAAATTCAAAAAAGATGCATGCATCCCTATGTTTATTGCAACATTGTTCACAACAACCAAGATATAGAAACAATTCAAATGTCCATTGATAGATGAAAGGACTAAAAAAATGGGATATATAGGTATATATGTAAAATGGAATATTATCCATAAAAAGTGAAATCTTGCTATTTGTGACAACATGGATGGACCTAGAGGATATTATGCTAAGTAAAATACCTCAGACAGAAAAAGAAAAATGCTATATGATTTCACGTATGTGTGAAATCTGAAAGGAAAACGAATGAACAAATGAACGGAAACAGATTCATAAATACAGAGGAGAAAATGGTAGTTGGTAGTTGCCAGAAGGGAGGGGAGGCAGGGAACGGGTGAAACAGGTGAAGGGGGACCAAGGAGTACGGACTTCCAGTCATACAGTAAGTAGATCATGAAGAATGGAGAGTATATACAGTCAATAATGTTGCAACAGTGTTGTATAGTAACGGACGGGGGCTACACTTATCGTGGTGAGTGTTGTGTAATGGAGACTTGTCAAAACACTCTGTTGTATGCCTGGAGCTAATAAATACTGTATTTCAACTCTACTTCCATAACAAAAATGCTCTATCTTTTAACTCCATGTCAATAAAAAAAAAATTGTTTTATTTTAATATGGCTTAGTTGATTGACTCATCTGGGGCTTGCTGCCTCATTCTAGCCTGAGTGGAACCAAATAAAACTATTTGATTCAGCTTTAAAAAAAAAAGAAAGAAAGAAACTTTAGAAGGAATTAATCAAATAGCAAATAAACAACAACCACAGATCCACATGCCGTCATTGGGAAGTGACAAATCATCCCGCCAAGCTTCTACATTCTGTATCCTTGTAGCTTCTGTTTCATACGGAATGAAGACAATGAGGTAGAAATGGACAAGTATGGCCCTACACAGAGGGTGTCAAACTCTAGAACATAAAGAAATTACTTGGTCTGCCTGTACAGAACGCATCCCCGGGTCCTACCTCAAACACAATAAATCGCAGTACCTGGAGACTGAGCTGGGGAGTTGCATTTTAAACAAGAACCTCAAGAAGTTGTGATTCAGAAAATTGCACCTTGACTGTATTAAATGATCCAGTGTTCCAGAGATAATTGGACCCTATAGGGATTTGGGGGGAGGAGGGCACTTTAGTCAGCTTATTTTAGGAAGTAATAGCGTAAGGAAAATCAACCAAATTTGCTAAAGCCAAGGAAACAAAAGGATCCAATGGAAAGGAGACAAGCAGATGAGAGAAAGATGGTGATACCATGTCTAACACGGTCATAAAGGAAGCTTCATCTTCTGGAGTGAAAAGGGAGAGATACCTGTCCACAGACCTGCCTAGGATTCACTTGTGTGGACTTCAACCCTCTCTTCATGGACTACTTCACCTCACATTTAAATATTTGGTTCCAGGGCGCCTGGGTGGCTCAGTTGTTAATCACCTGCCTTCGGCTCAGGTCATGATCCCAGAGTCCCAGGATCGAGTCTCACATTGGGCTCCCTGCTCAGTGGGGAATCTGCTTCTCCCTCTGACCCTCACCCCAATTGTTCTTTCTCTCTCTCTCAAATAAAATAAAATCTTAAAAAAAATTATTTCTAGCAGTAATCGGCTCAATGAACACTACTAGAATAATGCCTCTTGGTTTCCCTTTCCAGTCTGAATTAAGCATGTAAGTTCTTCTATTTATTTCAGATATGATATCCATGGATATGAGGAATAGCAGGAGAAAATGGCTCAAAAGTTTAAATATATATATGTGTGTGTGTGTGTGTGTGTGTGTGTGTGTGTGCGTGTGTGTGTATGGACGTCTGGGTGGCTCACTTGCTTAAGCGTCTAAGTTTTTTTTTTTTCTTATCTTATTATGTTATGTTAGTCACCATACAGTACATCATTAGTTTTTGATGTAGTGTTCCAAGAGTCACTGTTCATGTCCAAGTCTTGATTTTGGCTCAGGTTAAGATCTCAGGTCATGAGATTGAGGCCTGAGCAGGCTCTGTGCTCAGCGGGCAGTCTGCTTGAGAGTGTCTCTCTCTCTGTCCCTCCCCCTGCTGACGTGCACGTACACACTCTCACTCTCTAAAATAAACAAATTTTTGTTAAAAAGTTAACAACAGGGGCACCTGGGTGGCTCAGTGGGTTAAAGCCTCTGCCTTCGGCTCAGGTCATGATCTCAGGGTCCTGCTGAGCAGGGAGCCTGCTTCCCCCCCCCTCTCTCTCTGCCTGCCTCTCTGCCTACTTGTGATCTCTCTCTGTCAAATAAATAAATAAAATCTTTTTTAAAAAGTTAACAACATACGTAAGTACTTTTACAAACATTAATTTCATCCTTGTGGCAGTTCTCTTTTCCAACTTCATAGAAAAGAGACCTTCCACGTCATTATTCACAGATACCGAGGGAACTATACACAGAACCTTCGTAGTGTAGAATATGTCCTCTCTCTTCACGGTGCCATCAGCAATCTTCTTCCAGATGGCCCTCCCAATCTCTTCCTCGTTTTGATACACATAAGCCGAGTCGATATGGCGGTAGCCTACATCAATTGCTGTCTTGACGGCCTCTTCTACCTTACTCTTCGGGACCTAGAAGACCACAAAGACAAGGACCTACTGGGTTCCAGAATGGCTGGTTCCACAAGCAGAGGTATTCCGCAGAACCTATTGTTTTGCTAAGGGCTGAGAGCTAGAGGTGACAGAGGTAAATATTTAGAACCTTAGCGGTAAATGTTTAACAACTGATTCTCTGAAGAGAAGAAGTCCTGATTCATGGCATTTGCTAGTTTCTGTGGTGTAAATCCTACCACCACGGCTAACTTCAAGCTACGAACATTAGGAAAAGGTGCTCACCATCGGACCTCATGAGCCCATGAGCTGGCCCAACTTGTCACTGGTTTTAATCCCCCTACCTCTGGATTTACATGATCTGTGGGTTAGCCAATCTATAGAATTATAGTCCAAGTTATCTCAGTCTGTAAGAGATTGTTACGCTGATGGCAATTCAGGAGTCTAAGACGCAAATTATCTCTCAGTGCAATGAAAGTGCAACTGTACACAGAATAAAATAATGATTTACCTATGGCAACTCGGAAAAACACTTCAAACAACCTTTGAGGAAGGATAGAGATGTAAAAGAAAGTAAACTATTCTTTCATGTAAAAATAACTCGTCATTAAGTGTGTTGTGTTATGGCGGTCTATAGGAGAAAGGTGATACTTTCTCCTATAACCAGGAAACGACTTGGTTATTGTTCTTAGCTGTCTACTGTTCTGCTGGACTGCCAGGATGGGCTTTTCAAGTTATCTGTAATTTCCCCTCTCTCTGGTCCTCCTCTCCCTCACTTCCAAGGTCTCCCGGGGATATTTTTTCATTCGTAACTCCCGATGACACAGACTTAAGATCCCAGTCCGAGGAAAGGCAACGCTCTGTGCTAGCATTCTTGCTGGGTCCTCAGTATGACGCCCCATGTGACTCTCGTGCTGGAGAATGAATCCTACAACTTTCTTCTAATTAATTATAACCTCCTCCGCCAAGAACCACTGACAATGCGCTCTTATAAATTTGCAATGTTCAAACGAAAGACGTGCATGGCGTTCAGTGTTCCAAGCAGAGAGAGAATTTCCAAGGGACTCTTGGCTCTCCCCATGGCACAATCTTAACAACCTGGCCTCTAAGAGACTATTTCCAATCCAGACCACCAACACGCTCTCTAACATGAATCTTGTCTCTCTCCAGGTCCTTCAGCAGCTGCGATTTCTCTAGATATTCTATGACCGCTGGCGGACAGAGAGCTCTTGAACCCTGGGCGTTACAGAGAAACTTCATAACGAGCAAGCTTGCTGTTAAGTCCCTGCCTCCTGGGTCTCATCGATTCCAACAGACTATAAATGGCTACACAGGACAGCAAGTGAGAGGAACAGAAACAACCTTGCCCACTCCTGGACTGCTGACAGATGACACACTTCCATGTCCCTTGATCCTTGGACAAGTAGCATCAGAGTGACTGGGTAGCTTGTTAGAAATGTGGATTTTTGAGCTCTATCCCAGATCTACTCATTCAGAACCTTTGTGGGTGCAGCCCCCAATCTGCATTTTTCACAAGATCCTCGGGTGTTTTATGCCTATTAAAATTTTAAAAGCACTGACTTAATGCACTAAATAACCTAACCTGGAAAGAAGCAGCTTACTAATAGAGAAAATGAGGTCCTGGTGCATTTCTTGAATTATGATTCTGGTAAGGACCCTTGTCGGCTACTCTCCATGTCCAATGTCATTTGACTACCTTACTAGGAGCAGAAGTGCCAAGTCCCAGCATAGGCATGAGGTGTCCGTCATTCAGCCTTACAGAGCAAACTTTCATTGGATTCATCTCTTTGCACTCTTCTGGTTTTTTATTAAAAGAAATCTGCCAAGGGGAGAAATAATAAAATTGCTACTTTTTAAACAGCTTTAATGAGATATAAGTCACATACCATAAAACCATCCCTTTAAATTACCCAAGTCAGCAGTTTTTAGTCCATTCACGGAGTTGTGACCAATATACCATTTTAGAACATGTTCCTACCCCTTCTAAGACCCAATACTCATAGAAACTCATAGAAACAACTCCCCATTCCTCTCTCCCTTCAACCCCTGGAGACCTCTTTCTGTCTCTTTGGATCTGCCTATTCTGGAAATTTTATGTAAATGCATTCATACCCTCCGTGGCATTTTGTGACTACTTGCATTCACTTAGCATAATGTTTTCAAGGTCAATCCACGTCATAACGTGTAATGTACTTCATGCTTTCTAATGGCTAACTAACATCTCTTAGTACAGATGTACCACATGCTTTTTGTCCATTCATCAGTTGACAAACATTTGGGGGTTTTTTCTGCTTTTTGCCTACTGGGAATAATGCTTGAGTAAACAAACATCCATGCACATGTTTTTGTGTGGACATACATTTCCAGTTCTCTTGGGTCTATACGTAAGCCTGGAACCACTGAGTCATACAGCAAACCCAGGTTTAATGTTCTGAGAATCTGCCAAGTGTTTTCCAAAATGGCTGTACCGTTGACACTCCACTTCTTGAGAATTCCAATTTCTCCACATCTTCTCCAGCACTCGTTGCCCACTGTTTTTTGTTAATAGCCATCCTGACGGTATGAAGTGATGCTGTGGTTTTGATCTGCATTTCCCTGATGATGTGCGATGTGGAGCATCTTTTCATGTAACCCTTAGCTATTTGCTTATCTTCTTCGGAGAAATGTCTACTCGAGACCTTGCCCGTTTTTGAATTGGTTATTAGTTTCCTTTACTAACAGGTTGTAGGAGTTCCTTATATATTTTGGAAATGAACTTCTTATCAAATATATGGTTAGCAAATTCCAAATACTTCCATTCCAAAGAACGCCTTTTCTCTCTGTTGATGGTTTCCTTTGCTGTTTTTTTTATTTTTTTTATTTGATGTAGTCCCACGTGTTTATTTTTGTCTCATTGCTTGTACTTCTGGTGTCTTATTTACGAAATCCTGATCAATATCATTAGGATTTCCTCCTATGTTTTCCTCCATAGTCTTAAAGTTCTAGGTCTTACTTTTAAATCTTTCAACCATTTTGAGTTGAATTTGACGACCCCAATCCATTTGTATTATTCTAACATGGACTTAGAATGATTAATCTCTGATCAATTTTGTGTTTATTTTTGTCTCATTGCTTGTACTTCTGGTGTCTTATTTACGAAATCCTGATCAATATCATTAGGATTTCCTCCTATGTTTTCCTCCATAGTCTTAAAGTTCTAGGTCTTACTTTTAAATCTTTCAACCATTTTGAGTTGAATTTGACGACCCCAATCCATTTGTATTATTCTAACATGGACTTAGAATGATTAATCTCTGATCAATTTTGT